TAAACTAGCAAATATGTCATCAGTTGTTTGCAAGATTATGAATGAATTATAAATGTTTATGCTTTCAAAGATTTCCTGCATTTACTTTTCATTCTCATTTTTGGCTGTATTTTGATAACAAACATTGTATTCAGAAAACTCAGTTTCATATTTTTGAAACACACAAACATAGATTCATCAGTACATGCAATTTACTGAGATACCATTTTTGTATGATGTTAATCATAGTTGAATATTTATTACTGAGTTGTGCAATGTGGACCAGAATAATTCATTTATATGTAGAATTTCAATTTGCAAAATCTTCTGTGTTAACTATATACTGTGGAACAACTTTAATGAATTTGGTTTTGCTCCTTGTTTGTACAATCTCTGCAATATCTAAATTTTCAAAAGATGTATTGCCTTAATACTGATAGATATCCATAAATTACATGTAAAAATATAAAAATGAAGGGAGTTGTAGTTGTAGTTAAAAACATTTTGAAATTTGTACCACCAAAAATACAAGGATGTTTGATTGACTTAAACCCTTAAAGAAATGTATGGGGGTAAAGATATGTCATCTGGCAATCAATGTGCTTGAGGGCTATTCCTGTTGCATCTGAATATAATTGAATACTGTATTCGGAGGTGTGTCTTCAGCCAATTGTATCTTATTTTAATATTTCATTGGTTTTATGTGCACTTATTGTAGACTTGCACTTAAGAGAAAATATCTAGGAGAAAATAATGTGTTTATGCTCAACATGTAGACATTGTAATTTGGTTTACATGTAGACATATTGTAATTTGGTTTACATGTAGACATATTGTAATTTGGTTTACATGTAGACATATTGTAATTTGGTTTACATGTAGACATATTGTAATTTGGTTTACCTGTGTGTTTACATGTAGACATATTGTAATTTGGTTTACCTGTAGACATATTGTAATTTGGTTTACATGTAGACATATTGTAATTTGGTTTACATGTAGACATATTGTAATTTGGTTTACATGTAGACATATTGTAATTTGGTTTACATGTAGACATATTGTAATTTGGTTTACATGTAGACATATTGTAATTTGGTTTACATGTAGACATATTGTAATTTGGTTTACCTGTGTGTTTATATGTAGAGGCATGGCATTAATTACTCTTTCTGTTCACTACTGTAGTTTGTGTCTTCAATGGCACCTCAGAACAAGTATACATCAGACTATTCTCAGCTACGATGTTTGGTTTGTA